GTTAATGGAGTTTTGTGGCTGAGAAGGTGCCTCGGATGGCCCAAAGCAGGTAGAGACAGCGGTGGAAGTCCAGGTGTCCACAGACTCAGCTCCCAGTAATTGTGTGTCCTTACTAAGAAGTCTTGAGTGAACTGGACACGTTTTGGGGTGACCACGCTTGAGAAGTGTCATTTTCAAGCTTTTTTTTTTTTTTTTTTTTTAATTCCCTCTGTGCTTAAACAGGCCTCTGGATCAAGGCACCTCAGGGGTGTGTTGAGCCATGTCTGCCCTTGGCTGTGGGAACAGATGTCTCTGTGCTTCTTCTGATGCAAAATAGGTCACAAAAAACTGGTCTAGTGTAGTTTTGACAAGTCACTAATAAATTACAACACACAGTTCGCTGATGTAAACCTTACAAACAGCAGTTCAGATGTCCAGCTCCTGTTAAGGGAACAAGCAAAATATAATTAGCACTTTTCAGTGTTCTTGGGAACAGTGATCTGTGGCTGAGCAGTAACTGGAGCGAAATGACAGTTTCTTTGGGTCTGTGCAGGTTTTCAGCTGCGTGATTTTATTATTCGCTTTTTCAGTTTGAAGAGTATCAGAAAACTTAACATTAAGAGTTGGAGCAGAGCTGTTTGTTTTTCAATCTGTTTATATTTCTGTTCTGAGCATCAGTGCAGACAAAATGCGTGGGGTTCGAGCGGTATATTCTGCTGCCTTTAGAGACTGAATTTAGTCAAAAGTGTTGCTTATTTTCCTCTGTTATCAGTCTGCACTGATGCTCTGAACTGCAACAAAATAGATTGAAAAACAAATTGGTGTGCCCTATCTCCTTGTGCTGGATTTCACATTATCCTCCGGGCGAGCTGCCTGCTCTGCCCCTTTTGAGCACCCCAGAGACAAGTAATGACCCCTCAAGCCTCTTTTCAGCACTTCAAAGACTGAATTACTTTTGGTGGGAGAGGTAAGAAAATTGAATTGCAGTCCTTGATTTTTCTGGCTTTCCAATAACCCCCATTGTAAGATCATCATCTTGGTAACAAGAAAACAGGAAACTGTAAACACACGCAGAAAATATTCAGATTGCGATTTAAGGCCCTCGCTGCCCTTAACTCCTCGGAGCTAAAAACAAAACATTGCCCCTCGTTTAGAGGCCACTGTCATTCCCAGGGCCGAGGAACACGAGAGATGAATCCCAGCTTCCCATCCTACTGAGTTCACTTATTTCCATAAGAATTGTGAAATGAACCTCCGAGAGGGTGCACGTGGGCCGGGATGTGGCGAGCCCCTTTGTGGGGCTTTGTGGGCTGGCACCTGCTGCAGCGACCACTATGGATTTTTAGCTCCCTGAGCAGGGAGTGCTGGGGAGCAGGAGGGTTTTTGGGTGCTCTTGGGAGCACCTCCCATTGGCTCCAGCGCAAGTGGCATTTACTGAAGACAGGGAAGTTGGATCTTCTGTTCTGCTCATCTCTTTCTGCCCACTTTTTGGATTTTGTTTTGTTTTCTGCCTGCTTTGTTTTAGCTTTTTTAGTGTTCGCGTAGGAGTTGCTTTCTTCTATTTTCACATCGGGTGTGCAGGCTGATTTTATGGAGCTTCATTATCCATGTAGGCACTGCAGGTTATCCATCTCTTCCCGGCACTGGGCTGTGCTGTGCCGGCAGCAGAGGGAGCAGCAGGCTGTGGGTTTGTGGCTTTCAGAACCACTGTGCTGGCAGTGCTTCATGTTTTTGGTAGCGTGCAGCAATAGTAGTTGGTTTGGGGTTTATTTTAAAGCTACAAAAAGCCAGCTCCAAGAGGAATTTCTGGCATGGAGCACATCCTCGAGCTGGCCCCTGAGATGGATGCAGGAAGAGGTTTTGGTGTTATTAATGGCAGTGGCTGTGTTGATCAGCACCTTGCAAAAGTCCTGAGTTATGGCAGTGAAGGACATACAGAATCCTTTTGCTAAGGCCATAGAGACATTAAAATTCTTCCTGTGCCTTGTGATGGGTGTTCCAAAGGTGTGGGTACTGTGGCAGCAGGAATTGCGAGGGAAGGACGGTCTCATCCATGCACCTTTGGAGCACCTGTCTCTGCAGAGTCTTAATTGCTAAAGTGCTAGGTCCTGAATTTCAATTATCTTTTGATGAACCGGGTGACGTGGGTGGCTTTTGAATCTGTTGGATCTAGATGGAAGTAATTATATGAATAATGAAGAGAAGTAATTTAATTTGGGCACTCTTTTTTAGTTATTTAGATAGAATTGGGTGTCCATCTTTCCTCCTTCTCTGTGAAGAAAGGTTGTTGCTCTCAACAGATCTTTTTCCTGTGCTAATATAGCTTAAAGACATGATTCCCTCAAACTGTGGAGCTGTGTGAGGGCAGGAATACCTGGGAAAAGGTGGAATGGGCTGGAACTGAACAGTGGAGGGTAGTGTTTGCTGCAGACCTGTTCTGGACCATCTCTATTTGGGAGTTCAGAAGAAGAAGGGGCATCTTTGCTGAAATGACCTGAGAGCAGTCACAGATGGCAACTGCTGCTGAAGGATGGTGGGGGACATTTATGAACATGTTGTCAAGTAGAGCCTTAGGAATTTTAGGCACTGTTGAGAATTTGGCTTAAATTGCTTATTTCACAGTCTCACTGGAAGCTGGTGGAAGGAAAACTCCTAAGGCATCTTGGTGTTCTCCCTGGAAAGCTGGAAGGAGGGGGTTTAAGATGTCCGATTAAAGGATTAATTATGCAAAGCCCGGTTGTTGTGCAGCTCAGATGGGCAAATGCCCTGTCTCCTTTGTCCCCTTTGACACTCAAGTGAGTCAGACTTCGTCTTGGTTTACTGGCAGTATGTCCCAGGAGGGATGCAGAGAAGCAGCTTTAAGATGAAGAGGTGACAGTTGGCCTTTTCCTGCCAGTGCTTCTGGCAGAGGCAGACAGCTCCTCTTGTGTCAGCACTCACATTGCTGCTGAAGGATCAGTTACCTGCTCTCAGACATTCCCAGTTCCACCCAGTCCCCCAGCCAGATCTCCCAGAAGTCATCCAGAGGATGGCTGGAAGATGAAGCCAGACAAACTCAGGTGAGAAAGAAGACAAGTAAATTAACAGTTAGAATAACTGTGGTGGTGGAGGCTCCTCCCCCTAAAAATCAGTTCTTATTATGATGGGGCACCTTGCTGGAAGAGAGGCTTTAGCCAAACCTAAGTTACTGAGCCTGGAAATCTGGGAGGCAGTGATGGATGAGGAATCAGATTGCTGGTGTGGTCCCTTCTGGCTCTAAGCTTTGAATAAAAGCCTGAAGTGTGCCCTAAGTAGGGGGCAGTTGCCTTGAGGCTGGTCTTGGCCATCACCCCTTGTTACAAATGCCCTTTCTCTCTGGCAGTGCTGGGTTGCTGGGTCCCTATAATTAAAGAAGTAAAATGTATTTAAACAAATATGTCTGTGCTAATTGCTGAGGACACATTTTCCAGTGCTCTGAGTTGCTGTAATGAAGAAGGGGACATGCTGCTGGGCTGCTTAGAGCTTCACTGTTCCGAGCTGTCATGAGCAAATATGTCTTCTATATTCCTGCCAGGAATAGAGGGAGCAGACGGTGCTGCTGCCTCCTCCAGCTTGCCACGGTGCAAGCAATAGGTTTCATGCAGAAGGCTATTCATGGCAAAGTGAGCAGACGTCTCTTCCAGGACATCGATGTTTCCTGCTTGTCCTTTTGGAGAAAGAGCCACAGCTATTATGATTTAACCAGCAGACCCAGTTTCATCTCAGATACTGGAAGTCCTTCAGCTTTGGGAAAGAGTGGGTGGACTAAAAATGCTGCTTATGTGGAGCCTGGCAAAAGAATCAGGCCTTTCTCTTCTCCCACGGCCAGCAGTGACTCCGCTCGTGGCAGTTGGTTCCTTGTGATTTACAACAGCGTGGGAGAAGAGCAGAACCCACGTGTTGGATAGGCTGGAAGTGCAGGTGGCCGGCCCTGAGCGTGGCTGAAGGGGTGGATCTGGTGCTTGCAAAGATGAGCTGCACACCAGCCAACTTTTGGTAGCAATGTGCCCGGAGAAGCTCTGCCTCTGAGAAGCAGGAGGGTGGGCTCCCAGCCCACTCAGGTTTTCCTGCCCTCCAGAGAAGGACCTAACCACCGTGTGCTCTCGCTTCAGAGGTACCCAGATGGGGGGCAGGACACCTCTGCTTTGAGGGGATGTCAAAACCATCTGGGATCTTCCAAAACATGTCCCATAGCACTTCATCTTTAAAGCAGTGGGAGTTCTTGGCTGCTCAGGAAAAGCTCTCCCGCCTGTCTGGGATCCACCACCGTGGATTAAAGCTCGTGCCCTGGTGACAGGCAGCATTACTCCTGGTCTCTGAAAGAGAGCAGGAAGCTGAGTGCAAAGACGTTAAGCCTTGAAGGTCATGTAAATCGTGTCCATCCAGGTGCTCTTTCTCCAGTGTTCATGCTGTTTTGTGGCCTGCACCAGTGTTAGACATCCAGGTGTGTAGACAAGGCAGTGACATCTTTATCTTGTCTAGCTTAGATAAAAACTCCAGGTATCCCGCTGATACAGAATTCTGTTGGCAGATGTCCTGGATGTTCTCCCTCCTGCAACAGGGTGGGGAGGGAGGGAGTAAAAGGAAGGCTCTGGTAGATGAGATTTAGGGCTGTGGACTTCTGCAACAAAATTATAGCTTGGGGGCAAAGACTTGTGAATTGATGAGTTGGGACCTTGGTGTGCTGAGGCTCTGGGCTGCAAGCAGACCGCTATCTCTAAGGTTCACGTGGCCCTGCCCCAGTGATGTGGGGAGAAAATGAACTGGTCACAAACCACTTAGTGCTTTGCAGATCAAAACTAGCTTCTCAGATTCTCCTCTGTGTTTGGTGGATGATCTGAACAGGTCTTCCTCCCCTGCTTCCCCACCTGTCCTTTCAGAAACCAGCTGCTGAATTCAGCATCAGCTCCAGCCCTTTACCTGGCCCTGTAGAAGCAGAAATGGAAGCAGATATTTCTGCTCCTGGCCAGGAACTTACTGTGAATTGCACCTGGGTTCACCATGACTTGATGCCGAGTGTCTCCAGGTCCCTCCAGCAGGACTCAAGCTCTGGCCCTGACCAGCCTGCCCATGCTGAGTGGAGTGGCTGTGTGGAAGAGCCTCCAGAGCTTGCTGAGCCTCCAGAGGGGAAAGGGCAATCGAGGGATTTTGGTGAGACTCCACAGGTCTGGGCACAGAACTGCCTCCTGTTGGCAACACATCGACTCCCATTTTCCTGTTATGGGCCATCTTCTCCTCTATGTTTGATCCTTTCAGTTTGCCTTGGGTTGGTAGCAACACCCTGTTCTGCAGGGATTTTCTTCCTTTGGCTTTTGCAGTTGTTTCACGCTCACCATTTTGCCAGAGCTGTAGTGAGCAAAATTTTTCACGCCCAGGTGTGTGAATGCATCTGCCCTGTGGTGGGATCTGTGTTTGTGCAGGACACGGGGCTGATCAGACAGTCTGTCTAACAGCAAGTGAACAGAGTTGCCTACTAATGCTACCTTATCCTTTAAACTCCTGTTCAGCATGGGAGGAAAACAGAGGCTGTACTGGGTTTAAAATAAATGTTCCATTTATAACTGGTGTTAAATAAACCGTTGGTTTTCCCTCCAGGCTCTGTGATATCTTCAGAAGGGATTTGTAAGTCACAGTTTTCCTATTATAGCCAATGTGCTGGTTACAAACCGATGCCTTTCAGTCACATCATGCTTTCTGCGAATCCCTTCAATTAGCAAATAACTCATCTTGTTTCTCTCGCACAGCAGCAGAGAGCAAAAGCTGTAAACTGGATTTCTTTCTTGGATATGAAAGTGTTTTCTCTGAGGCCCTTTCTGATGCCCAGGCTGTGCTGAAAAGACTCGAGCAGAGCAACTGATGCCTCTCAAAAGGAGGTAGGTGTGTTTGCTTCCATAAATGTTACAGGTTTTTTCTTAGCCCATCCTGCTAAGGGCTAGGATAGTTTGTGCCTTGTTCAGGAAATTGTTGCATGGGAAACTGGTGCCTGGTTGTTTGAAGGGCAACATGTGCTCACCTGAGCACCACCCTGGAGAGAAGCATCTGTAAGTGCAAGCTGCTCATACACACAGATAAAGAAGTGTGTCCTGCCCTGAAGACATCCTTGCGTTGTAGGAGAGCTCCAGCACAGATTTCTCCCCTCCTGTTTATGGCATTTGCTTCAGGAACTGCATCGACTTGTAAACAACTGACATATGAGATCTAGATTTCCCAATATAGATTTCCCAGGCTCTTGGCTCTGTCTTGCCGTGCTCTGTGGATGGCAGGGCTGCCGAGGGGGCAGTGGAATGGAGGGTGGCAGGGGGGTGCCAGGTTCTGCCCCGTGAGGTTTCTCCTGGCAGTGTGCTGCTCTAGGAGCAGTCAGAGCTGGGGAATGATGCTTGGTGACTGTTGGAGGGCATAGCTGAGCCTGGTGCTCGGAGTGTGCTGAAGGGTGCTCTGGGCTCTGAGCAGTGGTAGCCACATGCCAGCCGTTGTCCCAGCTCAGAGCCACCACAGAAACAGCAGGACGTGCAACATTTTGGCTGCGGTGGCATTCTGCTTCTAAAAGCCCAAGGCATTATGTCTGTTAGAGAAAAAAACCCCAAAACATGGAGCACAGGATTGTTTTCTGCTGTGCCTGCTGAGTGCCCAGGCAGGTGAGCTGCAGCTTCTCTGCTGCACCATGGCCTCGCTTGCTATTGCTTTGCAATCACTGCTGTTTCACGTTCCTTCAGCACCTCAGACCCGGCAGGGAAGGTTTACAGACCCATTCGCGGCCCTTTGTGCTCCCAAAAGAGCTGTTGCAGCAGGAGCCAAGCAGAGAGGTTGTGGTGCTCACAGCCGCTCTGGGTGGGTGCCTGACTGCAAAGCGGTGGCTGGACAATTTTTCTGCAGCTATAAATAAACGCTGAATAAATGAGAAATGGATTTTCTTTAAGCCTTCCCCGAAAAATCACTTCTCAGCTGTGACAAGCATGAAAAGTGTCAGCCCCAGGGCAGTGGGGGAACAGGCTGCAGCCTGTTGTAAGCAAGGGCTGAGCCAGATCTGTCCCTCTCTGAGCCCCCCCCTGGGATCAGCGGGACCTGTGGGCACATGCACTGAGTCTGGGCTCTGTTTGTAGCGCACAGAGCAGCTCTTTCCATCGAGGCCCTGGTGTTTTCATTAGGGGGAAGCACAGCAGTGTGTTTTTAAAGTCATGCTTGAAGTGCGAGTTCAGCTCCTCAGAGCCCAGCTCGGATGTGTAATTCAGGCTGAGGTTGTGCCAGTGCTAGATGTCAATGGATTTTCTTTCTCTCTCCTTTTTCCCCTCCCCTTCTTTGTATCGTCTTGCCAGTCATTTGCTTGAAGTCTTGGGTGCCTCGGGGCAAGTAGAAGCCGGTCTGGAAGCTGGTGAGATGCAGTTTCTTTGCAGAAAGTGTTGCTGGGGTGCTTGCCCTGCTGCAGGGGAGATCTCCCATCCCTTGTGTCCTTCCACTTGGGAGTCTTTTGGGGGTGGCTGATCTCTCTGAGCAAGCAGTGATGTGCTTTGGGCAGCAGAGCCTGGACAGTGTGAGGGTTCAGGTGGGTTTTGCAGGCTAAGGGTGTCCTGGTGTTCAGGCCCCTCTGGTTTCTGTGGGATTTGGGTTTGGATGATGCTTCTGTTGCTGGTGAGCTCATCCCTACATGGTGCCTCATTCCCTGCAGCACTCCTGTCTGCTCCCCTCTGCTGTTCCTGCCTGTTTCCTCCTGCTTCCAGTGGAGATTTGTTTGGTCGTGGGCTTTTTTCCCAAGAAGGTTTGTGGTACAAGGCTGGCTTTTGTGAGAACTGTTGCTTCTCTTCTGATTTTGGTGTTCTGTTTTGCTCCCCGAACTGAAAAATGCAGATGAATTGCTTTTCAGTTTAGGGAGATGTGATTTTTGGGCTTGTTTTTGCTTTAGAGTTTCTCTGTGTATCTCGCATAAACTATTCCTATCTAATTTGGTTCTGGCTTGGATGAAACCTGCTTGGAAATGAGAACAAGACCGAAATTGCAGTAATTTGGGGAAGCGTGGAAGAGCTTTGCTGGTGTCAAGTCTTATCTTCCTGTGCTCTCTTAGGAGAAACTCAATTCAAATTATTGCACAGCTCATTTGTTCCCTGTACTGCTGGGTTCAGATGAAGTGGGGGAGCGCTGATGCTCCCACGTAGAATAAATGCCACTGTGCTTGTGGATCGTTTCTATTGCCTGTGGGCCTGTCCAGTCGTTGTCGTCCTTCATTTGCAGCTGCAGGGATTTCTGGATGCAGCAGAAGAAAGAAGTTTCCTGTTATCTTCTGCATCCTGATTAGGAGCGAAAGCTTGTGAGGGTTTTGCTTTTTTTTTTTCCTTTCGTGGTGACAGAGCTAGAAGAACTTTTTTCCACTCTGTTCTCTGTAGTTGTGCAGAAGTTTGGGCTGAGCTTTCGCTCCAGTTGTGTGGAGCCAGCAGGAGGTCAGCATTTGTCCACAGAGCCTTCGTGGGGGTCTCCCTCATCAGTCACGTACAGATGCAGGCTTGAAAAAAAAGCAGTTTGGGTTTCTGAAGGAGAAATGGGAACATATTTTTTTTTCTGATGATTATATGCATGGTGATAACTGGGGCTCTGGGTAGCAATGCTATGCTATTTTAATATAAAAAAAAATTCCCAATTTAAAAAAATATATTGCAACAATGCAAGTTAGTTTTCATCCGTATTAGTACAAACATGGATTTGGCAGGATCTGAGCACCTTTAGGACGGCGAGAGTTGGAGGTATTTTGTGTTTTACAGGCTCGTTTTGATCTGGAAGGGGCCAGGCATGCAAACCTTGAGAACAAACATGATCTGGTTATCAAGTCTCATTACAAATTAATGTTTGCATTAAAAAAAAAAAACAAAACACACCTTTAAGTTTGTTCTCCAGCGCATCTGCGGCATCTCCTTTCTTCTTTACACCAGAGCCCTTCATGTCCACGCTCTCCGTTCGGCAGGAAGACCCAGTGGGAGAAGCTGGGCCTCGTGCAGCTCCCCCTCTGAGGATGGTCATTGCACTAGGTCACTGCACTGCCTCGCTCCCCAAAGCTGGGAGCATTTCCACCTGCTGGGGAAGCCAGCCCGCCCTCCCCCGGCGCAGCCCCGAGCAGTTGCACTCAGTCTTTTCATCACTGCAATAAAAATGACAGTGACAGCAGAAAATGGCCGTTCTCCCCGGAGCGGGGCTGAACTCCCCGCTTCAAAGGCACCTTTATAGCATCCCTGGAGTCTCCAGTAAAGGCTGGCGTGTCTCCTGGAGAGCTGGGGAGCCTGTGTCTGCAGGGGCAGTGTTTACAGCGCTCAAGGACTCCGGGGAAATGGGAGCAAGAGTTCCAGCTTATTTCTTTGCCTTTTATTTCCGTAACTGCACAGGCACGTTTGCCTCTGGTTGCTGTTTCGGGTCACTGAAGTAGATTTTTTGGAGCTCTGGGTTTGATTGCCCGGCACGCTGGGAGCCCACGGCACTCAAGAGTTTGTGTGCCTCCTCTCCAGAGCTTGCTTTAGGAGACAAAACTCCACTGGGATTGAGGATGGAGATTGCCAAAAGCCCTGTTTGAAGTGCTCTCTGCTTTCTGTGCAGGTGATCCCTCCTTGTTCTGCAGTGAGATATAGTATCCCTTGCCCTAGCCTTGGCCTTCCAAAGTAGTGGTGATAATCCATGGTTTATCAGGTCCCTTACCCTTACTGGCCTGTGGCTATTTGGGGAAGACACGAAGAGAGGTTTGGTGCTGGAACCAGCTCCAATTTGTGGGATTTGCTGTACAGGTAAGGGCTGGCAGCAGGGCTTGCTGCCCTCCTTCCTGGGGCCGGAGCTTGGGTTCAGTGGTGTGTGTTTATGTGGGGGGGGTTGTTTTTTTTTTTGGTTCTATTTAATTTTTTTTGTCCCCTGAACAAAACCCCCAGGGTTCTGCTTGTTGTGTGTGTTTGTACAGGACAGTTCACTCTGTTATCCAAACCTTCTTGTGTTTCTGTTCTGCTGTAGGCTCTGGCTGCCTGTCTGGCCGAGGGAACAGGCACTGTTGAAGAAGTTGCTGAGCAAAGTGGAGTGTGTTCAGCTCAGGGATGCTCACAGCCAGGATGGTGACACCCAGGATGCTTGGCCCCTGGACACTCAGACCCTCATGCCTTTCCTTGAAGCTGTTTCAAGACATGAATTCCAGGATGAGAGCGGCTCTGCTGGGAACAGGGCACTGGAGAAACCCCACGGCAAGGAGGTAAATTGGACATTGGGTGCTGCCTCTTGCAAATTGAGTGGCTAATCTTACAGGCAAAGCAGAGAAACTCTGTAATCCTTGGATGCAGGAGGTTTATCACGAGCTGGCCAAGATCCTGGAGCATTTCTGCCTGCAGCAGCAGGTGTAGCTGTTAAGGGCTCTCCCCATCACTGCCCGGAGGGCTGGATCGATGGCTGGCAGCCAGCGTGGGTCAGAGCACAGCTGAGGCTTGGGACTGAAGGCTTCTTTCTTACTCGAGCCTGACACAAAGCAGTGGCCTTGCAAACCTGGTGTTAACCTCCAGCTTGCTTTATGGCTTTGTGCTCTGTTAGATAAATCAGACGTTTTCCTTTCATAGAGTTTAAAGAGAATAGTAAAGTGATTTTCCTCTGCTGCTTGTGCTTGGGATGAGCTTTGCTATTCACTTAGATCTTTCACAGAGTCTCCCTTGCTTCAGGAGCCTGTCAGTTCCTTTAGACTGACTTGTTTCTTCTCTTGTGTTTCTGAATCCTCTTCCCCCCCCAGAGAACAGAGCCGAGGAGGAGACGCTGACCGCTGGCTTGCTGGGCTGCAGGGAGGAGCTGATCCAGGGCGTGACACAGCTCAGCCCCATCGTGGAGTTCTTGGAGGCAGCAGAGGAGGATTCCTGACCCCCTCGGAGAAGGGGGTAACAACATCTGGAATGAGGCAAACTGTGTGGGCGAGGTGGGATGTCAGCGGGATGCAGGGCAGCGCCCTACTGTGGTTTGCCTCACCTGGCTGTTTCACCTGCCCCCTGCAAAGCATGTGTGTGGTCTCAGGTCCTTCTGTGGTGGACTGTGGGAATAGTGACAGCTGAGCAGTGAAGGCAACCTCAAAACCAGGATCCGTGTCAGACTGCCCCTGCAAGTGGAGGTGCCTGGTATTCCCCCTATCCCTGAAAATACCTTTTTGGGAGCATGGAGAAGGCTCTGTAGGGGAGTGTGAGCAGAACTACTCTGCTACCTGCTTGCCAGTTCCTGGTCATCAACTTCCCTTTCAGCTGACTCCCAGCTTTAACTCTTTTATGTGGCTCCTACCACACAGTTGTCTGTAACTTTTTGTGTGTTGAAGGCAGCAGTTGGTGGGGAGGACTGTTGCTCTCCTTTCCTGTAAGTGGTTGCACTATGTGTGCTGATTTGCAGAAGCCATAAAGGACAAAATTCTGTGCATAATCTGCTTTCCTCTGTGTTTGGGGGGAGCTGGCTGTACCCTGTGCAGGTGGAACTCACAGGGTGCCCTCGCATGCTGCGGTCAGGACGCAGCTTGAGACCTCCTGTCCTCGTTTGTCACATCAGTCAGTTCCTCTGACACAGGATTATAGTGAGTGGAAAGTTGCACCAAGCTCTGGCAGCTTCATCAGCACTGGGGAAATCAGGATTTTCTTATATGCCTGTTCATGTTGCAGTGTGGCCTTTCTTTTAAAGGCCGCACCTTTTCCCTGCACTCTTCTTTCTGTCTTTGTGGAATCAGGTAGTTGAAATTCACCCATTTTTTTGCTTCCCTTCCCATTTTAGGAAACAAACACAACCCCCCAGTAATAACCAAAACCATTCTGCCATCGTAATTCTGCTCCTTGGGCACAGGATACAGCCTGTAATTGCATCATCATGTGCTGCAGGGCCCCTGCCCCCTTTGGTGGAGGAGCAGTGTTATTCCATGTTTCTTTTCATCCTTGTCAGTCACTGTGTGCTCCGTTTGCTGCAGAGCCTCCAAACCTTGCTCTGAATACCAAAATCTCCTCTCTATGGGATCCCTTCATGCTCTTGTTTCTGCCCACAGTTTCCCATCAAATAATGGATGTTATTTGGGGGACACTCCAGTAAGGAGGGGGCAGAGCTCTGTCCTGCTGTGGCACGTGAAAACAAGGCAGAAGTTGCCAAGTGTAGACTTGATCTTAACGGCTTTCCCGCTTTTCAGGTTTGGTTTATTTGTTTAATTCCACCCCCTCCCCTCAGACCAACGGAAAAGTGTTTAATTATTCCAGAAAAACTGATTAAAATGGCGGGCCCATAGCACATGTGCAGGTGGATCACTTGTATCTCAGGGACTGGGAAAAAGAACATGGAATTTGCAGGCACCTCTGAAGGTTTTGTCTTACCTGACTCAGCCAGTGTTGCACTGGGGCTCTGGGCTGGCAGGGATGGGATCTAGCTCTCCAAGGGTTCATAAAGATGAGGCTTTCCTTTTTCTTCTCGCAGTCACTGCCTCATTAGCTACACATTTATTCAGCAAGACAAGTGCTGGTTTCACATGTAGCAGCCTTTTTTTCTGGGCAGCTGGGTTCTTTCTGGGCCTGGTCTGAGCTGGGCATGCAGCAAGTTTGATTTTCTTTGCTGGAAAACCGGTACGTGATATTTTGTGAAGCTTCTCTGTAAACCTCTAGTTATTTTCTGGAGTTTTTTAACCCAGCCCTTCTCTTTTTTTTTTTTTTTTTTTTTTTTTTTTTTTTTTTTTTTTTTTTTTTTTTTTTTTTTTTTTTTTTTTTTTTTTTTTTTTTTTTTTTTTTTTTTTTTTTTTTTTTTTTTTTATTGAGTGCTTAACTTCTGTCGCTGTTTTAGTATTTCTGTAATGTGGGGAGGTGGGGTGGAGGATTTGAATGCAGATTATCACCTAAAAGAAATAAAGTTGGATACAAAAGACGAGCAGGTAACCTTTCCATTGGTGATTTCTCATGGCTTAGGTTGTTGCAGAGTTCAGAGTGACCACAATACAGCGTGAGCTCCCCAAGAGATGCTGCTCTTGTACCTCTTTTTGTGTTCTCTCAGAATAGGACTGAGGGATCCAGAGGCAACTCGGTGTGAATTGAATGGGAGGACACATCAACAGGTTCGCTAACAGAGTTTGGGCTACAAAAGAAGGGATCTTTAGAAATGAGAGAAACTAATTAAGGAGTTCAGGTGCTCATTAGAGCGGAGGAGGAGCTGTTGGATTAGTTTCTTTTATGTTAAAGGTAGGAGAACTGTCTGAAGTTTGCATCCTGAATGAGAAAGGAGAAATTTTAGGAGAGGTTACAGACCTGAGTGAGTGAATAACTTGAGGAAAGGTGGTCCCTTATGTGGAGCAGAGTGTGCTGATGGGAATGCAACACTTCGTGTCCCCTTTAGACATCATTCTCTTGCATGGCCAGGTCCCTCCTCCTGTTTATTTTGGTGGGATTTTGTTGCTGCTGCCTGCTTGTGGTGGTTCAGGGACTCAAGAGCCCCCTTCTTTTGCCTGGTGGGACAGTCCTCCGAGTTTGGGTGGGTTTAGACGTACCCTGAGCAATTCGCATCGAGAGACTCTGAAGTCACATGAAAATTAAAAACTAAATTAACATGCAGTGAAATGTAAATGAGTGTTTAATAGAAAGCAAAACTGTGCTCATAATGCTGATAATTTCCTCTGTAGCAAACATTCCCGACAGGCACTTTGCTTTGTCATTTGTTAAGCACGATTGCTTTCTTGAAACACCAGACTCCCAGCATGGTTAATTATCTCGTGGTAATACCCATTCCAAGGAGGAGCATTCCTTAATTACACAGAGCTGATTCTCCTCAAATTGCAGCTTGAACAAACAGAAGCACAAATATTTCTTATCTTGGAAATGAAGAGGGAGGGAATGATTTGATTTTACGAGTGGCTGATGGATTGGCTGGTGGCACCTCTGGTGTCACCATGCTGTCCTGCTGATGGAAGGGAGGAGGTCCTGCACCTGGCACGGGGCACACTCTGGTACTGGAGCTCACCTTGGCACGGCAGCAGAGCTGAGAGTGCATTCACAGCAGCTCAAATTTGTGTCACAAAATCAGAAACATTCTGATGGGAGAAGGAGGGAAATAATTAATCCGTGAATTTCCCTTGGCTTTGCTGGGGATCAGAGTCGTGTCTCCAAGAAGTCTTTCTTTGGGGAGCTTTTCATAATAGCTCAAAATCTTTCCTGTATTATTCCCCCCAGCCTGCCATTGCCTCCTTCTCCATCCCAGAGAGTTTTCTCTCCTTACCCGGCACTGTGTGTCTTCTGGGTCCCACAGACTTTATCTTTCCTCCCCAAGCTGTGTGTGTTTAGCTGCCTTTCTCCCAGGAAAATGAATCTGTGAGAATCATGGATTGTTCTTACTGGTACTGAACCAGAATGATTAAAAGGCAGAAGTACACAAATAAAAATTGGGCATGGATGTCTTGGATGAACTATAAGGTTTGGGTTTGGTTTCTCCTACAAAAGTATAACTGCATCTTCTTCAATTTAGAAACTTCAATGGTGAAAAAATCCTCCTCACATTCATCTGTTTGGCAGTTTTCACTTTTATTTATCAACTAATCAGGTGACAAGTACAATCATAGATTACTTTTGGGACACAGTAGATTTTTCTTAAGTCTCTTCATTATCCTGAATAAACACTGTTCCTCTTCCTTGACTTAGTCCATTGGGTCCTGACACTGGGGTATCTTTAAAGGGTTGGGGTGTTACTCTGGAGTCATCATTGTTCTGATTTATCAAGGCAAACTTCAGCAGATCCACTTGGAATTAGATCAGGGAGCAGAAAGGAATAGAGTTAGAGTTGCATTTTTTTGGTGTAAGGGAGAGAAGAAGGTGCTGTGACTGCTCTGCAACTGCAGGCCTGGTTTGTGTGCCCTTAACATTTTCACCAACTAAGCCCAGCAAATCCTTGATTACCTTGGACCACCTGGGTGTTTGTAAAATGTTAATGTGTTTGATGGTCATACAAGGGGACGAGAGAGACATGAGCCAGGGCACTTCAGAGCTCCTTCTTGGTGGAGTGCATCAAACGCTCTGACTTACAGACCTCTTGCAGTGAAACTCCAATTAGGAGTCAGTAATGGGGTCTTTGTGATTCCAGGGAATCAGAAAAGGCTGCTGAACCTCTTGAAGTACTGCCTTCAGAGGCAAAGCCACATGGTCACCTGCTGAACATGCTGAAAACTGAGACTTTCTTCTTCTGGGCTCAGACCTGGATGGAGACTCAGGAGACATTTGGGTGCCAATGTTAGAGACATGTGGGCAGAGGACATTCTGTGCTGTCTTTGCTTTGGATTTGTCTGATTTGTCGTGTTCATCCCAAGCTTGAAGGTGAATCCAGGTGTGCTGTGAGGATAAGGCCCTGAGCATTAGTGACCCAGGGAGAACTATCTGCCCGGGCTTTTTTGGTCTCCCCTGAAGCTGCACTGTGAGCCAGGTAGGGGAGCAAGGGCAGGCTGGGTCTTGGTGAGCCTCGTTCGTGTCCTTGGGGGTCCCTTCCAACTCAGAATGTTCTGTGATTCTGTATCTAAGTGTGATGCAGGATGGGGTGTGTTAGTGCCACTGTGGGCTCTCCAAGCCCATGGAGCAGGTTGGGATGTAGGAGGCAGGTGGATGGGGTGTGTTAGTGCCACTGTGGGCTCTCCAAGGCCATGGAGCAGGCTGTGGGGCAGCAGGCCAGCGGTTTCACCTCCCTCTTGTCAGCAGTCGCTGTCTGTCTCTGCCATTTGGCAGCTGCTGATGGCTGTGCAGGAACCTTCATCCCTGAACCTGCTCGTGGAGGAGATCTGGAAACAACCTGGTGCAGAGTTTTTCTTCCAAGCAGGTAATGACTTTGGTGTTCCCTTATGCTTTCCCAGAGCTTCTCCTGCTGCTGACAGCAGCTGCTTTCTAACTCCTCACCCTTTCCCTGGCCAGCAACCTCTTTTCTTCCAATGGTTCTCAACACCTGTATCCTCAGTGAAACATTGTTGGAAAAGCACTTTGTTTGGCAAACTGTGGCTGCTTTGTTTGTGGCTCTGTGCATTCAGGTTTTACAATGAGCAAACCTTTTAGAGCTGAGGTGATATCCAGCTGGAGGCCCATCGGCCTGAGAGCCTGGGGTTCACCAGGTGGCTCCATCCCAGCTCCACTATCCCCTCTGTGCTCAGCCTGGAGAACAGGCCCTCATAAGCGCTGGAAGCCATCCGAATTTGGAAGTGCCCCTCTGCTGAAGCGAGTGTGTTGGATGCTTTATTGGGTGTTTTATATTAATGAGGGCCTGCAGGAAGGCTGGAGAGGGACTTTTTGCAAGTGACAAGACAAGGGGAGATGGCCTTAAGATGACAGAGGGCAGATTAAGATTAAATATGAGTTGTGATGAAGAGATCTGATGAAGCACAGGTTTACGACTTAGGTGAGCTGGTAATGTTGCCAGGTGTTGAGGAACAACCTCTTTCTTCATGCAAAGGTGGTTTAAAGTGGTTTAACACCAAAACAGAAAGTCTGAGAATTTATTTTATTATAACTTCTCTTAATCCTGAAATTCTCCCAACTCATTCACGTGTATCAGGGAGGGACAGACGTGTATGGAAAGGGATTTCTTTTCTGGTTTCTCAAAGCAGGTTCCAAGCAGTAGACATGAATCAGGAAGGATGTGCCCTCACTCCCAGACCAACCTGACCTTTCACAGCCCAAAATCTCTGTCAGGTGATCTTATCTTATTATTTCTCCAGCTACTGAGTGTTTCTGCTCAGAAGGAAAGTTCAGAGGCCTCCTTGAAAGCAGCTCTGAGCACAGCCCAGGAGAAGTGTGTCCTGGCCATGAAGCTCTGCCAGGTGCTGTGCAGTGTCCATGAGTCCTTCCTAGACCTTCAGCCAGTGATGCAGGAGCTGGGCTGTGTGGGTAAGAGAAGCACAGGCTTCACCTTTTACACGTGATCACAGGTGACTGGTGGTGGACCAAGAGTCCTGGTGGGCCCAATGCCCTGGCCAGGTCATGGCAGAGCACACTTGTCTCGTGCAAAGAGGACCATGATGGTGCAGTTTCTGGTCCAAGACTATTTTCTGAGTTAATTTTCTTAGAATGCTTTAATTTGGCCTTGCTCCATATGTACTTTACGGAGGAAATGCTCCCCTGTGAGGATCTGTGCTGGTTTTAAAACTCAGCAGGAAGACCAAGCCCACTCAAACAGCCCCCTTTTCGATAGTGGAGGAAAAAAAGAAATCCTAAGAGGATTACAAATTGGAGTCACAATTTACTGAAGAAATTGCAATAAACACAACAATAATAGTAAAGGATTGCACAGAAGAGGGAATGGTTTAACCAACAAAGGCAGGCTGTAGCCTGGCCCCCCAGGGGAAAACCAAAATGGGGTCTGTTCCTGTGCTGTGTGCCATGTGCCACCATCCCACACAGAGAGCAATTTGATGAGCTCCAGAACAAATGCAGAGCTGTAACCACGTGTGAGCCCTGCCCTGAGCTGTGGGAGGCTTTCCAGCTGAGCCCAGTTGTGTCTCTGCATTTGAAGGAAAATTTTCTGAACTGAATTTGGTGCTTTTAATGACAGGGATAACAGAGGTCCAGGAAGGTAACTGCAGGTGTGCTTTCTCCTGGAAAAGATGCAAATGTGACTTGCTAATTCTGTTTGCTCACATACATTTTCATGGCTTCGTGTTTGCGAGAGCATCCACATTATTTGGGCTGTGGAGTCCACTGGGATGTGCACAGTGTGGATTTTATCCGAGCACAGGCGCTAGTTCAGCTCAATCCATCCCTGTTTCCTCCTGTGGAAATGCCAGTAGATTGCTGGGGAGTTAGAAGTAAGCAGGTTGCTGTTAATGTCTCCTCTTTTTTTTAGGGATACAATGTTTAATGACTTTGAAAATATGGGTCAGGGCCATCAGCCTTTAAGAATGAACACAAGCCTTGTGGCTTTTAAACTCACCATCACTCTGAGCTTGGCAGGGACAGGCAAAGCCCCCCCTGTGCTGGGGGCAGGTCACCCTCTGCACCCTGGTGTGCCCACAGTCCTGGGCAGTGAGGAAATGTTGCTGGAAGGTGGGGCTGGGTTTCTGGGAGCAGGGCACAGGTAGAAGAAATCTGGGATCTCAGTGACTGGTTTAGCTGTAGGGCTTGGAGGCTCACGCCCCGATGACTGTGGAGCCAGCAGTTTGTGTGTGGGTGTGAATGTGCAGCCCACAGGAGCTCGTGGACACGCAGAGGGGCCTGGGGAGCCGCTGCCATGGCTCTGGCAGATCCTGCCTCTCTGGCAGCAGCATCAAAGAGAGCAGAGCTGCTGCCACTGAGTGCCTTTGCAGGGCGTCAGGCCAAGGTGGAGACGAAATCAGGCAAGAAGCAACATCAAAAAAACGAAAGCCCTGGAAAATGGTATTTGCTTGGCAAAAACATCTGTTCTGGTTGAAGTGTCCAGAGGAGGATTGCCAGGTACCAGCCTCTTTCTGGCATCCTACAGATCTTTGCCCTGAACCTCAGTATCCTTATTTCGAGGCTCCTCAGCTCTGACACCGCTGCTTACCAGCCCCAAATGGTGCAGGTGACCAATAGCCACGTGGCTCTTGGCATGAGGTATGAGTGATAACTCTGGGCCTCATGTCTTGGGGGTGTGAGCTTCCTCTTGGAGCTGAGGAGACCTTACGTTTCTGAGAACGTTTGTGCCACAGGGAGATGTGAACAGTCTGCGTTTCCACTTGAAAACAACAGCTTTTGTATCTCTGCTGCAAAAAAAAAGCCCTCAAAAATTTCTGATAATTCGTCTAGGTGAGCTGAAGCACTTGGAGTGCCCTGTGGAGGAAACTGCATCCGTTCCCAACCATGCTCAGCACTGCAGAGGGTTGGTTCCTTTGGTAGAGGTACAACATGGAATCTCTTGGCTTCTCCTTGGGGTCCTGCCATAGGTGGAGCACTGTCAGTGCTGGCAGCTGGTGCATGCAAGGAAAGGGTTTGGCTTTTTCAGCCAACTCCATAACCTCCTCTCTAGCCATCTGTTTTCCAGGGCTTTCTACAGTCACTTCTTGGGAGATCATGTTAGTCAACATAGATCTCGCTTTCCATTCTCAGCAGTGTGTCAAAACTCTGCGAAAAGGCTTTTCTTCTCCAGGGTCTTGTGTTTAAAAAAAAAAAAAAGTACAGTTATCCTTCTTCACTTGGGTCAGAAAAACCGACAGTGTTGGTTGCAGGGATGTGGGAGGAAACCTGAGAGGTGACAGGTCAAGCAACCTTGGCAGAGCAGGACAAACTGGAAACCAGCCTTCCAGTCTGCTGGAAGTTCTCCCTTGACGTGTTCACAGGTTTATGGTTCACCACTTGGGGTCTCAAGATTTCCAGGCCTGTTGGAATGTATCATTTAGTGTCTAGTTGGTTGGACATCTGGGGCAGTAGTGGTGTGTGGGGAGACACTGCTGAGTTCTTCCCATAGGGAAGGAGGCAAGAGACGAAGTTTTGCAAGCACAGGCTGAATTTCCCGTGCATTGGCAAAGGGAGAAGTCTGTGCTGGTTTCCATGGCCACACAGTTCCCTGGTTCTCATTATAGCAAAGAAGACAAATGTATCTGTTTGTATTTTGATTTCTTCCATACGTACATTCCCTGTGGGTTTTTTTTTTTCTGTAGATTGAGATCCTGGGTGAATTTTCCAGCTTGTGCTTTTTGAGATGCTGGTGTTACAGGGACAGGGAAAGCATTAAACTTTGTAAGAAATGAACATAATGAGCAAGGGCCTCAAGCAGAAGACTCGAAAGGGTCGTAGTAAGATTATCCGTTCCCTTTCAAAGAGTTTGTGTTTGTGAAGTGTTTCTGAGATTTCTCGTAATTAAGGGCTGGATATCCCCTCTCAGTGGCAGATTTAGGCAGTATCCTATCTGAGGCTCAGGTCTGCAAGCATTTAAGCATGGCTGTAACTTCATGTGTCTGAGCAGGAGGCAAATGCTTGGAAGCAACAGTATGAAGAGCAAGTTTTTAGGAAAATCTGGCCCTTGTTCTTGGCCCCTGGTATGTGTGATGGAGAAATTCAAGGATCACTCTTTATGCATCTTACTATGCATGGCCAGAGCCATTTTTAGGCAGAGCCACCATTGTGATGGACAGAGTGTCTGATTGCCTCTGGGCAGGACAGACTGCCTGTGTAGGAGCATTCAGGAGATGGGAGACTGAGGGGCAGGTATCCAGTCCTACTGGTCACCACCAAACCAGTAATTGCTATTTCCATAGGTCTCTTGACTGAGAGAAGTGGGGAGAAACCCAGGATCAAGAAGTGGAAGGTGAACAGTGAATCCCCAAGTTAAATCCCTGCACAAAGGTGAGGACGAGGCAGGAAGACCTGGTGGCAAAGAAGCAAAGGAATCCCAAGACAAAACTTCTTCCAAGAAGAGTTTTGTCTGCAAAGCCTGTGATAAACATTCCACTTCTGCTGGTGCCTGCAGGTGCACATGAAGTGCTGTTGGGTGTCCAGAGGAAAGCAGATCCAATGTAAAGAGTACAGCCAGGTCAAATTGACCAAGAGGGAACTGGGGAAGCATCAGCTGGAGGTCCACGAGGTGGTGGGGATGGCCAAAAAAAAGAAGCAGGAGCTCCCTGTGGCATGTGACATCTGTGGAGGAGAGTTTGCTCATGCCTCAGGTAGGGTTGGGGTGAGCAGGATGTTCAGGCAGAAGTTTGGACAATATAATAAAGTGATAGTCTGAAACCTCCTCCTCCTCCTCCCTGCAGCTCTGTGAGTGCCATGTGTGAGAAACGCAGCTCAGTTCATTTCTCCTGCCCCACTGAGCACAACCACTTTCTGATTAGTTCTTCCCTAATTGGTTTTCCACATGGCTCATCAAGGAAAAGTGGGGCTACTGGCAAATTTAAAAGCCTCCAAAAATAACCGAGCTGTTCCAGTTCCTGGCTGCTTTAGCAGGACAAGTAAGAGGAGCTGAGTCTCTTTGCCATCCCCGGGGCAGCTCACGATGTCCTGGTGGACCTCCAGGCTGGAGGACACCGGTGGACCCTGGTGTCACTGGTGAGCTGGTGGAGCAGTACAGTCGAGTGGTGCCTCTGCAGCAGCCTGAGACAAGGCTTCTCCATCCTTTGGGGGCCTCCTGTGCATTGGGCTACTCCCCGACCTCCCTCACCTGCATGGGTTTACCTGCAGCTTCCCACTTTGCCTTTCCCTCATCCCCTTATCCAGCTCCTCAGATTAGCCACGCAGTCTTCCTCTCCTCCACCTTCTTTGTTTTTCTCCCGAGTAGTTCCTCTCTGTCCCATCTCACCTAGACTCCAGCGATGCATCCTTCTCCTGGGTTATCCTACTTTCTCCTGCCCTTCCCTCTGGCTGAATTCCACATATTTTCATGCCCCTGCTGCTCCTGCCCCTGCACTGCAGTGCCATGCCCTCCCGGGGCTGAGGCAGGGCTCTTCCAGCTCATGGACACAGAGAATGCATTGCTGGGGTTGTAATAAATGTCCTTGGCTCTATTTCCCACTGTTCCACGAGTGTGATGCAGTTGGGCAACTCATTTTGAACGTGAAAGTGTGCAGTACCCCTGGCTACCTGGGGTCGGTGCTAATTTAATCGTCCCCGTGCAGGTCCTGGCACCTCCAGGACATTCTGGACCTTGTGCTGAGATGCTCCCAGGAAAGGTGGTTTGATGCTATGAGCAGGGTTATCTCAAAAATAATGGCAAACGGGCCGCTGGGAGCTCACCATGGAAAGCTGTGGGTGAGCAGGAACAGCAAAACCTATGTGTAAAGCCCAAACTCCAGTTCTAGTTTCCACCATTTCCCTCCCTTTTTTTTTGACTGTCTCTTAATTCTTCTTTTCCCTTGGTTTCTTTGCCCTCTGTGGTTTGTGCTGTGTTTCTGGCTGGCAGACACTGAAGATCCCTACAGCTGCAAGAAGGGCCAGATGAGCTTTGCCACCCTGCAGGAACACCACAAGCCATGAATGGAATACCATCCCTGCCCTACCTGCTCCAGAATCTGCAGTGTCCCATCACCCCTGGAGCACCTCATGGTGACCCACACTGGGGGAAAGCCCTTTGGGATCTGTGACAACACTTACCAGGTGAGCTGGTGCAGCCAGGAGTTGGTCTCACATGCCAGGGTTGCTGTTGCCTGCTCCTGCAGCAGGATGTCTCTCCAGGCCACGTGCAGCAGTTTGGGGTTGGCAGAGAGATAAATTGGGACAGAGGAGGCAGAGTCCATAGGGAAAAGGCAGGTCCATGGGGAGAGATGGGCTGTGACTGCAAAGGGCTAAATATCTGCCCATCTGGACCCTCAGGAATCTCATTCACGCAAGATTCTGGCTAGCAAGAGGTGTAGGAATTAAAAATAGTCGTGTTGCAAATGGCACGCCTTGGAGGGAATGTGTGTGGGAGCACACTGCTACAAGGGAACAAGAATTCACACCAAAAGGAAACCTGAGACAGGGATCGGGGATTCAGCTGTGTTCAGCTCCTCAGGGAAAACTGAGAAACAGAGTGAGGTGTAAGTGCTTGTCCTGTGGGAAGAGGAGCAGGTCTTGTATCTGCTGAGCATAATTCCCCAGTTACTTCTGCTTTCTACATGGTTCTTGCTGTCGTGGTGCTCCTGGAACAGAGTCATTGAATCCCAGAGCGGTTTGGGTTGAAATGATTCCCCATTTTTAGAGGGGTCCATGATGTAAACCCCCAGCCCACAGTGCTCTGGCATTTCTGTGCTGGCATGACGAGGTCTTGCTGGAGGGAAAGCAGCTCAGTCCTGTCCTTAAGGAGCCAAGGGGGAGGATTGGCAGGGTATGCAGAGGTGCCTGGCTACTCACAGGCTGTTAACACCCCGATGACACCCCATGAGACTACAGCTGTTTTGCTGGAGGCCCAGTGCTAGGTTTGAACCGAGCCTCTTCCTCTTCAAAATCTCAGCCATCAGTGGAGAACAGTTCCTTGGATGAGAGAATCCAGTGTGCAAGATTCCCTGGGATGGCATTCCTCCAGTGGATAATCACAGAGTGTTTACTGCCTACAGCTGCTTGTGGAGCTAAATTATAGCAATTTTGTGGGGAGAAATATTCAAATTAACTCTCCTGTCTTCTCTTGCATAACTGGTGTTTGTGGTTTGGCGCTTCCCATTAGCCTCATGCCTGTTGTAATTGCAGACCTGTGGCGTGAAGCTGAATGTTGTTACCTGAGCTGTGGCTGGGGAAGGTGTGGGCAGCAAAGGGATCCTGGGGAAAGTGGTGCTGTACCTGTCTGACTCTTGCACCATCTTCCTTCCCCACAGGGGACTCAGACGTCAGAGCAAGGAGCAGCAGAGCACATCATCTCTTCTGGTGGCACCCAGCTCGTTGTTTCCCAAGTCTTTGTGATGTTGCCTGAATCCCACGTGAGCCAAAGTGGCTCTGAGCAGGTGACTCTGGAGGACTTGACTGATGACTCTGATTTGTGAGGAAACCAAGAGGGAGACAGTGGGGGATGCCTCTGGCTGCCACTTGGTATCCCCTGGACTGTTCAGGAGCTCAATGTGCTGCTCCAGCTCGCAGATCCGGGGCTTCTGTGGGAAGGCAGTCTCCCAGGCAGGCAGCAAGCACAGAATGACCAGGGACAGGAGAGGTTCAGAGACACTGCCTGGGAAGTCTCCCTGCAATCAGCAGCTGGACCACCTCTCTCTCCCAACACGTGAGAAATAAAGCGGAGGAAAAGAATGGGAATTGGTTGTGACCCCTCTGCTGCTGTGAACAGAGGGGAGGGGACTAATGCAGGACAAAAGTGGGGTGTATGGCTATGGGCAACAACAAAAAAAGCTGTCCTGAGAATTCAGGATGGAGATTTTCATGGCTGAATCAGTGATGTAGTCACAGGTATCCTCTCTGCAGGGTGTGTAAAGGCTGCTTTGTATCTTCTGCTCTCACCTGTACTGGTGTTTAGCTGGAGACCTCCTCCAGCACAGAGCTGACCTTTGGGTCTCTCCTCCAGCAGGAACTTCCTGGGAACTGGGCTAAATGACTTCAGTGCTGTTTGGGTAGCACCTTGTGCAGCACAGGTTCTGATCCCATCCATGTTTTTTGCTGTAACTGTCTGTTAGAAAGGAGGGTCCAAGGCAGGTCTGGCCATCCTCATCCTCTCTACAGGCAAACAGCCCTGGGATGTCCCACCACCCTCTTAATTCACCAGGAGCATGCTGAAAAAGGGGAAGGAGCTGTGCCTGCATGCCAGGGTCCCTCATTGCTGGTGTCAGCACCTTGGCACTAATGAAGGCGTTTGAGGGGTGGAGAGCTGCTGTGACTGCAAGGGGACATTCCCCTGCCACAGGGGGGGCACTGCCTTGTAAAATGCTTTCAGGTGCCCACTGTAAAGTTTGCTTCTCTGCTGCCAGCATGATGCAACAGCTTCACTGCAGCACGCTGGTCCCTTTAAGGCTAAATTTCATAAAGCTTTTTTATCTGCACTTTCCTAAAATATAATCTGATAATTAATGGTTTGCTGAATCCATTATGAAGTGCAATTAGATAGATGCAGGGTTCCCGTGGCTCTGAGGGGACTGGTAGCATTTATCTTCCTTTCCCCCATGCCAGAAGGTTGAACTCTGCCACTGCAATATTTACACAGGGAGCAGTGATCCCTCCACATCTCAGAGCCTGGGACCCCACGGTGAGCAAGGAGTGCCCTGTTGTGTCCTGCTGCCCAGAGCCATGGGAAGTGAACACTGGAGTATTCCAGCAGCATCTTGTGCTGGCTGCTCGCTGCCACCAGGCAGAGAGGGTGGCACAGGAGCGTGCCAAGGTGGCTGTGCCAGTGAGAGAGTTCGTTCCTGTTATAACCTGGAAGGCAAAAGGGAGCAGCAGAGCTCCCAGGAGAGGGGCTTGGGGAGCTCGTGGCGTTTTGTGTGCCTGTGTAGCAGCAAGCACATGACCCTGCTGAAGTGTTGCAGGTGTCTTGAAGGGCTCCCACATACGGTTTGTCCCCCCCCCCCAAGCTTCTCAGGGATGGTGACACGGAGGAAGCGCGAGGTTAAGTTGCCACTGAATCCAGGAATGACCAGGAGATGGTGCTCAAGGCCTTGAGGATTAGTGCTAGTGGCCAGGTGCCTCTGCACCTTTGTGGAAGCTCCTCTGAGCCTTCCCAGGCCTTCCCCAGCTCCTGGGCTGCCAGCTGTGGAGAGACCTTGAGCCACTGCCCAGCTGAAGGAGAACTCCAAAGCCCTGGCCAGGTCACCTCCAAACCCTGGATATCACTGCTTAAAGAGCCAGGAGCTGGGTCTTGGCCACCTGTAGAGAGGCTAAAATGTACTTGTTACTGAGGTGAAGAGGTGAAAAAGCCTGGGATCCCCCCTTGAGCAGGAGGAGAGGGGCCAGAGGGGGAGCTGCTGGAGCCCATCTCGTGAGTGGCACGCGTGCATGGCACTTGGGATGAGCATGGGGATGATGACACAACAAGCAACTGTGCCTTGATGGTTTCAGAGCAGATGTGTTGGGAGGAAAGTAGTGGATTTTGTCCCACAGGCTGGTGGAGTTGGAAGCTGTTCCCCCTTTTCTGACTCCATGGGAGCTGGGAGCTGTGGAAATCCTACACAGGCTGTGGAGGGGGGCTCTGGAGTGGGGAATGGATTGTCCAGACAATTCTTTGCAGGTGTTCTGGCCTTTATGTGTGAGCCAATACCTGCAGGGAGAGCTAAGGTGAAGCTGATGTCCCTTTGTTCCTGAAAAACTGTGGAGGGGGGGTAAAGGTTTAGCAGGGCTTGTGGAGAAGTTTTCTTCATTTCTATCTGTCTCACAGGGCAGGGGCAGCTCAGCCAGGGCGGAGCACGTATTTGGGGCCTGTTGGTCGTGATCCCTTTGGTCCCTGATTCCTGATTATTGTTACAGCTGGAGGGGGACGGTGTGGATACCACTTCAGGGGTGGTTCAGACTCACCTCTGCTGTTTGGGGCTACCTCTCCTGCTTTTCTGCCCAGCAAGATCCTGTGTGGACCCATCCCCAGCAGAATCCTGCCAGCTCCACACACCCAGTGAGAGCTCTGTAGCTCCACAGAGCCCCTCAAGTATCTCCCATATCATTATGAGGAGATAATAACTCACTTCCCCCCATTCCAGCTCCTTCCTGATAGATGAGATCTGCACAGCAGAGCAAATTGCAGCGTTAGCAACACCCATGTCCTACCCGGGAGGGAGATGCATTTTCCCAGGACACATCCTTGTCTGGTGTGCACCACACTGGAGATGCTGATGGCTGGTGATTCCTTGTTTTCTCTGTAAAAGTAAAACGTGGTGAAGGAAAGATGTACCTGCAGAGTGTCATTTGAAGCAATTCACTGAAAAAGAAAACCTCCCTGTGCTTGAAAATACGATTTTTTTCGAGTTTTCTCCCAGGTGCTGGGGGACCCACTGGGTTCTGGGTCCTGTGCCCCAGAGTGCCTCTAACAAGCTGGGAAGTCACATCTCATGGAAGACTTTAGGTCAGGTAATAGTGGAATGACAGGACAAGGTGGAATGGCTTTAAGCTGGAAGAGGGTAGATTTAGATTGGATATTTAGGAAGAAATTCTCCCCTGTGAGGGTGGTGAGGCCCTGGCACAGGTTCTGACCCCGTGTCTGTCCTGTTGCTGTGGGATCCTTCAGAACAAGGGAGGGTGCCCTGAGTACAGCACTTGACCTTTCCCACGTAAAGTGTCATTTCCCAGCCCCAAGGTGCTATTTTAACAGTGCCTGCAAATTCAGTGCTCTGGGCTTCGTTTTTGGTTGGGTTTTTTATTCTTTTTAAATCCAACCTGTTCATAATTAGGTGCAAAGATGCCACTGCTCACCCAAGCGTTAAAGAAGGAGGTGGCACGGAGGGAGTTTGGACAGAGCTTGAATCCTCTCATGGGGGAGAGGAAGAGGAGAATGGGTACCAATGGTCTGAAAACCCTGTGTGTGGTTCAGGGAAGCCCTGGCAGCCCCAGGTGATCCTGAGGTCTTGGCAAATTTTAGTGTTGGTCTGGCAGGCTGCCAGTGAATTCAGGCACTGGAAAAGGGAAGTCAAGGTCCATTTGTACAGAGCACAAATGCTTAGCTTGGCCTTATTCCCCTTTTCTTGGGCACCCTGGAAATGGCAGGCAGAGACCTTTCCACTCCTGACAGGAGCAGTCAGTCCCTGTTTTGCTTCCGAGGAGCTCGGGGTCAAGTTTGTTGGCCGATATTCCTTCATCCCGTGGATCAGGGATGCTTGGAGCCCTGCAGCATATGGGAAGCCTCGTCTGGGCAGGCTGGCTGCTCGTGTTCTCTGTGCTTCCCAGACTTTCTCCCGCTGGCCCCAGAGCCTCCTGCAGATGGGGAGGGCTGGCTGGGATGGGTCTGGTGTGCCCGTCCTCCCTTTGAGCGCAGAGGAGCTGCCAACAAATGGGTCTGTCCTGATAGATTAGATCTATCTTGGGGCTGTGCAAAATCATCTCAGCCCACAGGTCTTCCAGCCACTGGAGGCTTCCTGCTGGAGATGGAGTTTGCTGTCTTTCTCTTGGCTGCAGTAAGGTGAGAGAGCCCTGCCTCAGGTTTCAGGCTGCCTGGGGAGATAATCCCTGCCCCTCCAGCTGTGCTGAGCCTGCTAAGGAGTGTGATGATGGCTTTCCCTGACATGTGAATCTGGCTTTCTCTGCCCAAGGAGGCCAAGGCCATATGTCACCTCCTCCGTGGCCTTGGCCTTCTTGGCCAGCACTTTGGTGGCGAAGAGTTGAGCTCCAATCTTTGCCAGCCACCTCCATCCCTCTGCTTTGCTGTCCTTCACCTGGACTAGGTGTCCCTGCAGGTTCACCCCAGCCCTCCACCCACCTTCCCCTGATCTGCCATCACCCAGACCTTCTTCCCCAAAGCTCATCCTGCAGAGCTGTGCCCGCACCTCCACACGTCCCTGCCCCGTGCAGGGCTCTGCTCTCTGCAGAGACCACATGTGGGGGCACAGCTGGGAAGTCTCCAATTGCAGGTTTGTAATTCCCATTCTGATCTTCTGCAGGAGTCACAGGGAGGGCTCAGGGCTGGGTGGAAAATGGGTGGAATGGCTGTAAGGACCCCACAAATGTGGGGTTTGTTCCCTTGATCCAACCTGTGTGTTTATTTCTTCCAGCTCAGAGGCTCCAGTGAGACACTGTTTGGAGCAGAGCTGCCCCATCCACTGGTACTTAATGCCATAATAACATCATGTTGGTTCAGCACATTGCACTTCAGACCTGTGGTTGTTTTCTTTTGTCCCTGAGTGTTTAAAGCTGCTGTTATTGAGCTGTCCAGTGACACAAGGGGCTTTCTCCAGCAGGGTTATAGATGATAGTGAGTTTGGTGATAACACAGGAGCAGGTCAGATGGTCTCTGTAGCGTGTGTGAACTCCCATTTATCAACAGCCGGTCTCTGTGAGCAGTGAATTCCCTGCACAGCTCCCTCCAGCCTCTCACATCAGCTAACCCAGATAATCCTTTGCTATCTGCTGTATCTCAGTAGATCTATTAAACACACACAAGTTCTGGTGTCCTTGTGCATAACCAGGGTATGTTGCAAAGATTTCAAATCCCCCAGTGCAGGATTCTGTCAAAGTTTTACTGAAAGTCTAAATAAATAAACCCTTTTTACTCATCCATTTCTCTGTGCTTCTGAGGGCTTTTCTGTTTTAAAGGTGAGGCATTGCTGTTCCCTGAGTGGACTGCTTCAGACTCTTGGTGGTACAGCTGG